ATGGTTAACTATGTGGTAACTGGAGGAGAAAACCCAATATATCCAATGATATTAGTCCACTCCTCTAGGTCCAGTGTGAGGACCACACTTTAAGAAAAACAGGAATGCATCCAAAGGAGAAATTCCCTGGTGATAATGAGACTCTCAAACCAAGCCAGTTCAGGACGATTTGAAGGAACCGAATATTACCATAAGGACTAGAAGAACTGTCATAAGTAAAAGCATTTGTGCAGGTATTCTAAGAGGTAAAAATCAAGATATGAATATTATAGAGGCAAATTATATAGTTCAATATAAGAAATGAGTTCTTATGCTAAGAACAGAGCAAAAAAAAAACCTCCTAGATTGTAGATCAATCTTGATAGTTTGCCTAAATTAATCTTCATGTTCTCTATGAATTCAGAAATAAAGTTATCTGCTAAGGAAGAAAAGAATAAGGATAATTTTAGTGGACTGGAAAACATGGAAAAATCTGGACCATGTATATGGAGATTCTGATATGTAATTACCCAAGAAAGAATAAAATAAACTCCTAGCACTGTTAACCATCCCTCCAACTGCATCAGGTGGCAGTGAATCAAGATCTAGTGACAAGATATTTGAGGGTTGGAGCAGAGTTGGAGCTGTCTAAGATCATTGTGATAAGCAAAAAGAGAGAAAAATTAGAAAATTAAAGGAGGCCAAAGAAAAATAAAGGAAGAGGATGGTGTCAGGTCATGGTGAGTGAGTGAAATTGTGGGAAGGATAGGCGGCTGTGGTCAGAAAGAGCATGTGAGATGCTCTGTTTTTTTCAGCCGGGACAGTTCTTTGATGTGAAGGCCCAAGTAGGTGAATACCGGTGGATTCCCAAAGGGAAGGGCAGCCGGTTAAGGTCCTGTGAAAGCCGAACATGCAGGTGTTGAATGAAGTCCTGAACAATGTCAGCTGACTAAAATGCAGAAAGAAAAACCTCCATTATTGAGATTCCTAATGCAAGTGGAATGCTCAGGTCAGTGAGCATTGGGAATGGGGAGAAGATAGATCACACTGGTGAAGGACGTGAACTTAGAAAGACAAAGGGTAGGTAATTGGGAGATAATGAAAGAAATATGTTACAAGCAGTTCTGAATGGGCAGCAAGGCATCTGAGAGAAAACCATAATATTTCACGGAGGGTCATTGCAAAATGAATATTGTTCTTTAAAAATGTATTCTTGACTGGGACAACATATACCATCAAGGCATAAAACATGTAATTCAATAATTACAAAGACCACAAGATTAAACATATTAGACACCTGTTTCGTGCCTGGTACTGAGTCCAGTGACGAGTATCCTGAGGGAGACTGAAGTTTGGTCAAAGATACAGATGCCTTAACAGGTATTTTTAATGTAATGTAGCATAGCCAAAAGAAATATGGAGGTTAGGTCAGACCTGGGACTAATTTTAGGATTAAGAAGTTTTCCTTGGTCTGCCCAACTTCTTTCCCCAGGATGTTCACTCCCCAAAGCCATTGTCTTCGGTTGGCTTCTGGCTAATTCCTGCTATGGTGAGAAGAAAGAGGTGGTTAATTAATTTGAGTTGCCTCTGATTTTCTAAAAAGGGGGGTTCATTTTAATAAAAGATTATCAATGGCCAGAAAGCATTCCAGGTTGGTAAAGTTAGTAACTAAGGGTAGTGAGAATCACCTTTTTATGGTAAGGGTTGGGGGAGAGATCCCCAGAGACCCTCAAGTGTTATAAGGTAGACTAAAGTGCTTCACTCCTTCCAAAAAATTCTACCCATACTCTATATGCCTCAAGGCCATAGGAAGATAAAGCCTATTGGCCTGAATCCAGCAAAGAGAGAAAAAACATGAAATAGGTCAGATACTTCCAAACTGTTTGAGAGAAATAGAAGCACATGTGAGTCAGCTTAACCGAAAACTTACTTCAACCCCAATTAAGTCAACTAGTTTATAGGCAATTATATTTGTTCATCCAAAGACCTAAAAATTGTCAAAACCTCTTCATCTATCAGGTCAAGATGAAGATATCCAAAACAAAACGATTGCACAGGCACTGGATCAATACCTACTGAATAAATCTAGATTGTCTAGAGACTAACACGCATTGAAATTATTGATAATTTAGAATTAAAAATATCAGTTTTTACAAATATACAGAGAAGTAATAAATAGTAATGTTTAAGAAAAGTTGCTTGGGCAAATATTTATAATTTAAGTGGTATAAAAATCAGTGACATAAAAGTTATACATTGTAGCAAATAAAAGAAAAGCTTAGAAACTATCTGGAAAATCTGACATATAGAATATATTCTGAATAAACAATTCTCTCCAAAATTTTGTTCCATCAATAACATACTTTTTGGCTTGGTATTTTCAAATATTGCTTTAAATTTCCATTTTTCTTTACCTGGAGAAATTCATTCTTAAGGCTAATTTGAGTTTTACCTATTTCTGAAAAAAGTTTAAATAGAAACTTTGTGGGTACATATGTTGTTTTAAACTAACTTGTAAAAAAAATCAGTATTCTCTTCCCTATAGTCACATTAACTGTTGGCAAATGCAACCTACAAATGTAAATGTAGAATTTAATTTCTCTAGTATGGTTTCAGACAAAATTTAAGGTTATACAGTATCTTTATATAAAAAAAATAATGTTAAAGGTTTTTTTGTTTGAAACAGTCTATGACAAACTGTTGACATTTAGTCATAAAATATTTTGTTGACATATTCATAATTTTAATTTTAGTTAATACTCCTTTAGTTTTAGTATAATATAATATTAACTACGACAGTTTTCAAAATAACACCATAAAGCACGATCATTTAAATAAACCATAGTTACAAGAGATATTAGTGCTAAGTATTGGGGAGTTTTCCACATTTCTCTTTCCTTTGGTGTTGCCAGGTATAACCAAAATATCTTTGCATTTCCTTCTGCACTCTGTAAATGACAGCTCTTTCAGACCCGTTATTTTCTCTCTGGACATTTAAAAACAAGGCCTTGACGGGACTATTTACATTCAAACACTATGAAACACCATAGCAAGCATAAGTGCATTAAATTTTTGTTGGGTTTCAAAGAGAGAAATATAATTTTATTTATTTGTCATACACTAGAAAGAGATTTCACAGAACAAGAAGAAACAGAAGCTACCCATTTATTCATTATAAGCTTCTACTAAATACATTTCACCAACCTAAATGTCCTATCTGGTATGTTTAAAAACATACAAGTGGGTCTATTTTCTATAACATGTTTCTTATTGTAACACTAATTATTCTAGATTTTTCCCTACTATTCTATCACAAGGCTTTATGTAGAAAGCCTACTCTTTTGACAAGAAAAAGTGTACCTTATATATTTTAATTTCGTGGTTCTTATTTTTCTGTTGAGTCACAGATCTCGTTGGCTATCTGAGGACTTTAGACTATTTCCCTAAAAATGCAGTAACTCAGATGTTTGAACACAATTCCAGGAACTTCATGACCCCTTGAAGCAACTCCACAGAACAAGTTGTTTGGTAACTGAACAAAGCTAGCCTACACAGACAACCTCCACTGAAAAAGTAATAAAATTTATATGGATTTTCGACAAATAAGGTTGGGTTTGGAATTTTAGACATTCATGCTGTTTTTATGTTGTTAATGGTTTTTACCACTCTTCAAAATATAGTACCTGAAATACCACAGCTGAAGGAAAAAAATATGACCATATTAGGAAAAGCAACAGATTAATTCTACCTTATGAGCCAAGATATAAATGTCTATATCGATCATTAAGTGCTTCAACGTTTTATGTATGTAACCAGAGGGTTAACAATTTTCTTATCAAGCTCAGTTCTATTAAGTAGGTAGACATTTAATCATCAGAAAACTAACCCTGAAAAATCACTGCTTATATTTTTAAAATGAAGCTCTAATTTAACATACAGTTTCAAATAGAAATATGTATGTACACACACACACACACACACACACACACACACACACTCAGAGGGGTTTTCAATACATTAGACACCAAGATGCCTTCCACCAGTCACCATTAAGCGAGATGTACAATTGCCTTCTAGTTTATTTCAGAAGATGTAAACTGCTTATCAAGTGCAAATGAAGAAACCAACATGCGAAAACAAGTGAGCAAGAGAAGAACGCTTAAAATGCAAAGCCAGAAATCACATGACCACATTGCATGGCAGCCCCTCACACCAGTGTCACAGCGAGGCGGCTCAGCCCACTGAATACAGGCTCCAGGCACAGACCCCACGCGCACAGACGACGATGACCCCTTGCCCACAGTTTCCCCAGGTGTGGCAGTCATAATGAAAACGAAAATTGGACTGCCAAGCAGTAATTAATACATGGGCGCGCGCGCGCACACACACACATGCACACACACACACTCACACACACACGCACACTTACTTTGGTCGAGCCCCTGAGCAGCCCACTGTAAGTTTCCTGGCTGCTTTCTCTAAGCAATCCTGCAACTGCAGCTGCTTGCTCTCGAGGAGGGCGAATCGCTCACCCCCGCCGTAGCAAGCGGGATGAAGTTGCGGTAAAGCCCAGGCGCTAAGGTCCCAGTGTCCCTTTGCTGCACCGGGTGGCGCGGGGCTGGCCGACTGAGCGGCCCGAGCACCCCGGCCGTGAGAGAGCAGCGGCCCCGACGCGCCCCGCGCGTTCCCACGGCCCCGCTCCACGAGTGCAGCCGCCTGCGCGGTCGGCCCGGCGCCCACCCCCGTCAGCCCTTGTCCTTCGAACGTCGTAGGTCCCCCGGGCCTTCAGCCGGGCCCCCGGGCGCCGTCTCCTTTGCTCCCTTGCTCCTCCCTAGCGTGGGAACCGGGCCCCAGCCACCACCCCCGCCCCCCGCCCGCTGGGACCGGGCAGCTTGGAGCGCCAGGAAGGCTTCCCGGGGTGGGGGTAGGGGTAGGAGGGCAAGCCCAGGCTGGGGGGCCGGGAGAAGGCAGCCGCCCCTTTGGGGAGCCCCGACCTGCATGGGTGTGCAGCGACCACTTACTCGGTGGCCTCCCAGAGCTCGGGACTGCGTTTCCGGATCTCCAGTAGCTCCAGGGCGCGCCTTGCAGATCCGCACTGTGAACGCAGAAAGAGTGGGCATCAGGGGCAGGAGGGGGTGGGTGGGAAAGGGGACCCTGCGGTGGCACCTGTCGGTCCCTGCGCCCGTGCACCCATCGCACACGCGGCCGCAGCGCTCCCCTTGGGCTCACCCCCGTCTACCTGCTCAACAGGCTGGGCAGGACCTGCCTCGCCAGCCCGATCCCGCGCTGCACCGAAGAATCCAATCGGTTCTGGTAGCGGTCCCTCCCTGCGTCTCCCGACTCTCTCTCCGATGACCCCAGAAGAACCCGGGCAGTTCCTTTCCCTACTGCATTCGACTTCTTTTCAGAACCCCTCCCCTTCCCTGCGGGGAAAAACTGAAAAAGAAAGTAGCGGCTGTAACCCACCATGGCGAGGTCACTCAGGGTCCTTCGGCAGCCCGCTGCGTTCCCTCTCCCCGTAGGGGTAGGTCGCCAGGGACGACTCCCCAGCTGCTGTCTGCTTTTTGCCTTGGGTCTCGCTGGGCGAAAGTGCAGGAAAACTGCAAAGAAATCTGCTTGTGGAAAACCAACTCTGGGCTGAGTCCCACCCACTACGCCCCGGCTAGTGCAGGGGAATTGAGTCTTGGCCCCTGCAGCTACCCAATCGCCATCCCAGCAGTTACTCTGTGGAGACAAAGAAAAGGGGATGGGACAAAAGAGGAGAAAGGAAAAAGAAAAAAAAAAAAGAAAGAACTCAGGAAAATTTTGGCCTACTTTAAAAAAGAAAAGAAATCTTCTCCACTATACTCTGGTCCCAAAAAACTAGTTTACCAGACCAACATTTCTGCTGGGAAGTTGATATCTGAATGGATGGTTTTCTCGACTTGGTTTTCCCGTTTGAAGTCCATTTCCTCTTTTGCAAATGCAGCCCTATGGTTGCAGACATTTACTTCTTTCCAGTAAGGTCCCGATTCTGCTTGGTTCTGTATATTTAGTTCTATTTGTTGTTGTTTGGGGGGGGGGTGTACATGTGGTGTGTATTCCAGCACAGAAAAATAAGTTCTGATGTATCTGAGTCATCTTCCTAATTATATATATATATATATATATATATATATATATATGTATATATATATATATTTATATTTATATATACTCACACACACATATATGTACATATAATTATGCTTTTTCACTGTGAATTCACAATTAATCATGATTATGTGATCTTTCTTTAAACTCAGGAACTCTAATATGAATTGTTTATAGTTATCTCCAATCCTTATATTTCTCCCCAAACCTACCACATCATCTGGTCCCATTATAGATTCATCACATTTGCAAATTATTCTCCCCTTTTTGTCTACTATGTTCTTCTTATGGCAAACATCAGTCAGAATAAGCAACAACAACAACAGCAGCAAAGACATTTAAATAAGAAAAAGGGCATTTCAATAAACTTTGCCCTATTAGCAGCCAAAAGTTTGCAACTATAAGTTTGCATGTTTTGGTTCTGCCACCTCTGAAACCTGATCTTCCTCTACTCCCAACCCAGCAACCCATGATCATCTCTTAGGTCAGTAGGGTTTCTCTCCTCAAGGTACTTAGAATTTTAAACCTAGAAGGATAGAAAATGAAATACCCACTAACACATAATTGAAAGAGAATCTCATGCTATATTTTAAAAATAAATTAAATGATATGAAAGCACAGAAGAAGAGATATTTTTTGACAGGAGAAATACTTAATAAGGGAGCAGCAGTAGAGTTAAGCTTTAAAAAGTTGGTCACATTTGGAAAAAGGCAAAACTGTTTTTATTTTGCTTAGTTTTTTTTCAGTCTGAGCAAAGGCATGGAGGTGGCAAGCCATGACATAGGTATTCAAGAAACAGGAAGTGGTACCATTTGATGAAAAATACAAAGTAGCCAGGCTGGTGTGGCTCAGTGGATTGAGCATCATCTTGTGCACCCAGGGGTCACTGGTTTGATTCCCTGTCAGAGCACATGCCCAGGTTGCGGTCTTGAACCCCAGTCAGGGGTGTGCAGGAGGCAGCCAATTAATGTTTCTCTCTCATCAATGTTTCTATCTCTCTCCCCCTCTTCCTTCTTTATCTAAAAAAAAAAAATCAGTAAAAAAAGATTTTTAAAAAATACAAAGTAAATTTTTAAAATATAGGAAGATAATGTGCAAACATCCATTGGGTCCAAATGGCCTCTAGTTGTCATGCACTATAGGCTTGGCAAAGGTTTTTTTGTTGGTTTGTTTTTGTTTTGGTGTTTCTCTACTGGCATTACTCTTGTCAATATTGCTTTCATCTTGGAATGAGATTTGCTAAAGCTGTTAATTTCTGTTTTTACCATTTTCACATTCTGTAGCACACCCCCAAATTCTTCGTTAGTATTGCATTTAACCTCAGTGATCTCTGCCAGGGGCTACTCAGTTTTACAAAGGGTCGACTGTCAGCTAGAGACACTTTTGTGTTCTCACATCCTTTGTGAGTGTGGGGTATATAGGGAAAGCAACCCATCGAGAGTTAAGGGTGGCTGGAACCAACAAAAGGTGATTGTGAACCACATTCCCTCATCTGGATATTTGATATGCCCTGAAAAAGTACTGACAGTACTTTTGCACTAGAAAAGTAATCTTTTGCACTCATAATCTTTGCCGCCTCAGTGGCCTAAGGATTCAGTAGAATGACTGTAGAGTGGATAAATGAATACCTGAATGTCATCATCTTTCCAGCTCCGTTCTTCTGCCTTATAGATGATGTGTAGGTTGAAATCTATTTTCCTCCACTTTATTGAGAATAGGAGAGTTGTCATGCCAATTTAACAAAAATGTTAACAAGGACAAGTATTCAGTTTAAAGCAATCCTGGGTCAATTTGTCAGCCCAGGCCAAAAAAAGATGCATTGTTATTCCTGTGCGCACAATGACAAGAGTACAAATGCCACACTTACCAATGACAATGCCAACCAGAGATGTGATCTAACACTCAGTACTGAGAGTGTGGTCTATGTAACGGCAGTATCAGCATGACCTGTGTGATCTTGTCAGAAATGTGGACCATCGGGTCTCACCCTAACCTACTGAATCATTTAACAAAATCCTCCCTTGATTCCAATGCATGTTCAAGTTTGAGAAGAACTGATCTGCAATCAACTCATAAAATATGCTAATGCTGGGAGTGGGTTGCATGAATTTTTTTAATCCTAGGGATTTTTAGAACCAGCATCTCTCTCTCTTTCTCTTTTTCCTGGGATATTATTGCCACATCAGTTCAAATAAAGTTATATGATTAATGGATTTATCTTTATTGGCTTCCTGGTGCAGTTTATAAACCAAAAGCACGAGTTTATAAACCAAAAGGAGTTGAGAGAAATGGTGAGGGGCAATGCAGCAGAAAGGAAGAAATGAGAGGAACATTGTACACTATTGATTTTTTTTTTTTTTTAATATGTCAGGGGCAGAACTTCTCTTTATTTTTTAACAAACCACTGATTGAACTATTTATTAAATCAGGATAACTTGTCAGACACAAGAAAGATTAGATAAACTTCATTATCTTCTTTCCTCTTTATTATTCTTTTATATTCCTCTTCTTAAAGTTATTGGCTTTCAATTTGGTTTAAATGCACCTAGTTAGATACATTTTACACTGGTAACTTGTAATTATTGGGACCGTGTTAGCACACCAAAATGTTTCTTTTGGAATGTGAAGTTTTAATCAGAAAATGCAGACCATGTAAGGTTGGAGTCCCTAAATTTCTATTCCTGGTAGGACATTCATGAAGAAACTTGGACTTGAAGAAATTCTAATGGTGATAGAAATGTTGTCCACTATATTCTCTCAAAACAAGTGGTGTTTGCTAAACCTAAATAGAGTGGTATGCAGAATAATGTCCTGCAGCCCTTGGCCCAAAGATGTCCATGTCCTCATTCCTGAAACCTCATGTGAATACATCATGTTATGTGGCACATGGCAAGGGGGAATTAAAGTTGTACATAGAATTGGGATTGTTACCAACTGACCTCGAGATGGGGAAATTACCCCAGATTATCCACGTGGGCCCGTTGTGACCACAAGATCTTTATAAATGAAAGATGGAAGCAGGAGAGTCAGGGTCAGAGTCAGAGTGATGCAATACAAAAAAAGAATTAATCTGTAATTGCTGGCTTTGAAGATGGGAGTTCATCCCAGAGGACGTGGGCAGCCTCTAGAAGCCAGATCAGCCTAGAAAACCGATTTTCCCTTTGAGCCTCCAGGAAGAACACAGCCCTGCCAACACTTTGATTTGAGTCCAGAGAAAGTCATTTCGAACTTCTGACCTCCAGACATGTAGGATAATACACATGTGTTGGTTTAAGTAATTATGTTTATGGCTATTTGTTATAGCAGCAATGGGAAACTAATACAGACTTTAGTACTGGAAAGTGGGGTGCTGGTGCAACAAGTACCCAAAATGTGAAAGCTTTGGGATGGGGAATTGGCAAAGGCTAGACAAATTTTGTGGAGCATGATATTTTAAAACCCTACTTTTTTTTTTGTACAGATAGAGTAGGAGGGAGAGAGAGGAAGGGAGAGAGAGAGAGAAACATCGACGTGAAGGGACACATCGAGTGGCTGCCACCCGCACGACCAACCAGGGCCGGGGACAAACTGCAACCGAAGTACGTGCCCTTAGCGGGAACCGAACCCGGGTCTCTCCGGACCGCAGGCCGACGCTCTAACCGCTGAGCCAAACTGGCCAGGGCTTAAAACCCTACTTACTTTGGATGCAGTGTTGGAAAGAACATGGATGTTAACTCTGCTGGTAAGGATTCAGAAGCATGCTAGAGAATTGGAAGCCCTGGAGAAGAACACCCACATCTCTTAGAGAATACTTAATATGTCATAAAGAGACTGCTGATAGACATGTGAATGTTAGAAGTGAGGATACAGATGGAAACGAAGACCCCATTATTGGAAACTGGAGGAAAAGGTTTCCTTATATAGTGGCAGATATTCGCTGAATTGTAGTCTGCCATATGCAGAAATGATGAATTTGCATATTTAAAGGAGAAGCTTTCTAAGCAAAGTGTTGAAGGCATTGCCTGGTTTCCTCTTTCTGCTTATTTTAAAAAGTGAGAGGAAACAGATTGAAGGAAGAACTATTAAGCAAAAAGGAGCCAGGGCTTGGTGATTTAGAAAAGCCTCAGCTTATTTAGATTGCAAAAGATGCCACGCCATCCTTATTCAGGTAAGCATAACATCCTTGTACTGTGGCAATACTGGGAGATGTTATTGATTTTCACGTTTAAAAAATACAACAGATCCCCATATTTTTATTTTATGTCCTAAAGTAGTAATTCTATTGATACCTTTATCCCTAATATCATTACATAGCACTGGCATTCCATAACTTTTGCTTCAAAAGAAGAGCATACTGGTATCCTATAGACCTGAAAATATTTAATGATGGTTGTAAAAGGCTTCCTGCTAGGAATAACCTACAACTACATTGACTTCAGAAAATTGGAGGAAAAAAAAAGCATACCATGAGACAATGACATAAAAAGCCCCTAAGATGAAGGGGCTAATCGATACTGCAAAATAAAGATGTGTGAACCTTGTGCAAAGGTATTTGTTGAGTATAAAAATGTTTTCTCTATCCGGTTAAAGATATTTCACATGAATACAAATTGACAAGTTTAAAAAGAACAATTTAGTCTGACCTGTGTGGCTCAGTGGTTGAGCATGGACCCATGCACCAAAAGGTCACTGGTTCTATTCCCGGTCAGGGCACATGCCCAGGTTGTGGGCCTGACCCCCAGTGTGGGGCATGCAGGAGGTGGCCAATCAATGTCCACTCTCATCAATGTTTCTATCTCTCTCTCCCTCTCACTTCCTCTCTCTCTAAATTCAACAAAGAAAAAATAAAATAAAATAAAAAAGAAAGAACAGTTTAAGTATGC